TAGCCCAGTTTGAAAAAGACAGATGCACTCCTATGTTTATCGCAGCACTATTTACAATAGCCAAGAAATGGAAGCAACCTAAGTGTCCATCAGTAGATGAATGGATAAAGAAGATGTGGTACATATACACAATGGAATATTATTCAGCCATATGAAGAAAACAAATCCTACCATTTTCAGCAACGTGGATGGAGCTAGAGGGTATTATGCTCATTGAAATAAGCCAGGCAGAGAAAGACAAGTATCAGATGATTTCACTCATCTGTGGAGTATAACAACAAAGCAAAAACTGAAGGAACAGAACAGCAGCAGACTCACAGAACTCAAGAATGGACTAACAGTTACCAAAGGGAAAGGGACTGGGGAGGATGGGTGGGTAGGGAGGGATAAGGGGGAAAGCGGGCATTACAATTAGCACACATAATGTACAGGGGGGACACAGGAAAGGAATATATACAGAGAAGACAATGATTCTATAGCATCTTACTACACTGATGGACAGTGACTATAGTGGGGTATGTAGGGGGGGACTTGATAATAGGGGGAGTCTAGTAACCATAATGTTCTTCAAGTGATTGTACAGTAATGGTATAAAAATAAAATTTAGAAAAAAAACCTCTTATAGGATGCGAGGAAGGAAAGATTTCTGAACGCTTCGGCAAGAGGCGTGTCCTTTCTGCACGGCAGGACCAGTCTCCCACTGATGAACTAGAAACTTTCTACAGGGCCTTATATTAAAGACACAGTAAAGCTCCTAACCTCAATACTTAGCTAACTACCTACAATAATCTCCTAAGTTTACCTTTTATTCATGTATCAGATGTGTTTCTCATTAGTGTTAATAACAATTAGAAAGAAAATGGGTTTTATTATCAGATTACTTTGTGACATGATGGAATATACAAGTTCAACTCTGGGGGTTCATTGTTGCTCTCTCTACATTGTATTCTATTCCTTTGACCTATGTGTCCATCTTTAGACAAACACCACTGTCTTATTGCTCTATCATAGCTTTATAACAAGTCTTGAAATCATATACCACAAGTCCTCCAATTTGTTCAATACTGATGCGAACTATTCTGGTCCTTGGATTTCTCTAAAGTAGTTCCCCTCTCACCCATGACTTCACTTTCTGCAGTTTCAGTTACTGTCCATCTCAGTTAACTCAGTCAGCTGCTGTCTAAAAGTATTAACTGGAAAATTCCACAACAATTCCTAAGTTTTAAATTCACTATTAGACATGTAGTGAAATCTCATGCCATCCTGTTCGGTCCTGCCCAGAACGTGAATCATCCCTTTGTCCAGTGTATTCACACAGTATCTGATACCCACCTGTTAGGTACTTAGTAGCTGAATCAGTTATCAGAATGCAGGATTGCAGTGATTGTATTCAAGTAGCCCTTATTTTACTTAATAATGGCCCTGAAGTGCAAGAGTAGTGATGCTGGTAATTCGGGTATGTTGAAGAGGAGCTTTAAAATGTTTCCTTTAAAGTGAAAAAGGTGAAAGTTCCTGACTTATCAAGGAAAGAAAAAAAAAGTCAGATTTGGTTCTATCTGTGGTTTCAGGCACACACTAGGGGTCTTGGTACATATTCCTGTGGATAAAGAGGGACTACTGTACAAATTTCAGAGTAATTTTATCAACTTAAAAAGCATACAGAATTTTTATTAGGATGGCTTTGAATCTGTAGAGGAATTGGCATAAATTTTATTAAAGATACAGACTTTTCCAGTCCACAGCCCAACCATCTCCATTTATTTATATCTTGTCTAACTTTTATTAAACTTATTCTTAAGTATTTCATGTTTTTGATACTATTATAAACTGTATTTTTATTTGACAATTGTATATTCTTAATATAAAGGTCTACATTCAGGGTCAATTAATTTTTGACAGAAGTTCCAAAGCAACTCAGTGGAGGAGATGAAAGTCTTTTTTAACAAAAAGTGCTGGAACAACTCAAGATCTATGTAAGGAAAAAAAATGAACTTCAATCTATACTTCATACTATACACAAGTATTTAGGTGAATCAAACACCTAAAGTTAAAAGTAAGACTATTAAGCATCTGGGTGAAAACAGGATTTTCTATGTATCTTTAATCACTGAGCTCTATTAGAGTTAACATAACCTGCGTGGTTAGGCCCTTAACAGTTACTGAGTCTTCTTTTATGGCCCAGCATGTGGTCTGTTTCCTGCATAATTGAAAAGCAAGTGTACTCTGTGGTTGAGGGTCCCATTAAATAAATGCCACTTAGGAAAAACTAGTTGATAGTATTTAATTCTTTTTCATTCAGGGCTCTATCTTCCAGATCTAATCCATCCAGAAGTTCCTAAGTATCATTTTGGGCTCTATTAATTTCTCTTTGTTTGCAAAGCTTCTTCATCTGTCAGGCCTACTTCATCCACCCATACCCACACCATGCACCGCACCCAGCTATAGAAAGTCAAGGAGCAATCTGTTCACCTATAAAGGACTTATTTCTACCAGGAATTCAGCTCAAGTCTTCCTTGCCTCCACCACTCTTAGATAGGACCATATGGAAGTGCACCTTTTATCTTGTGAAGGTTTTTCTTGCTATTGTGAGTGTGAAGACCTTTCCTATTCATATACATTCTAACTGCAGTCAAAGTTCAAGTTTGTGCTTGTTTTAATAACCTCCTTCCCATGTTCCACTACAGCTTCACAATGAAATGCATGAGTGACTGGATTCATTGGCTATGTTTTAAAGACTCTTCAAGTGAGTAGACAGAGTATAAATAGATGAATGCAGTGACACTGCATCAGGTAGAACTCAAGATTGTTTATAAAATCTATCCCATTCTATCAAATACAGCTAAGAAAAAATAAGGGTGCATCTAGAAGATATTGGGGCTTGATAATGTATTTTGCTCATAGCACTTCAGTTATTTGAACTATAGAAACTCCATGCCAGTTTTCTTGTGTTGTATTCCAAGAGTCTCTTGCTATCCACATCTATTTGGTTCCTGAGTTCAGATACTAAGCAATGCTGTTATCTGAATCAGTTTTATAGTCAACTTTCAGAAAGTGAGCAGCAAGTTTGGATAAGGATTTATCAGAAAGGTTTTATTCTTAAATTCAGATTGTGACAAATACTTCCTTCCAATAGACTACTAGATTCAACTTGCTAATTTATAACATTGCATATTCTTCTCATAACTGATTCTGGGCATATGATCTTTTTGTGTTCTCTTCAGAAGTTTTAACATAAGGGTTACAAACTCATACAAATAGATAACTTGCTATCTCACTCTATGTCCTGGAAGAGCTCCTAAAACATTTCATAGTTTCACCTATTAAATATATCTAGTTTGGTGTCTTATTTAGTGTGGCTGGCTGACATTTTAAGTATTTTTGGTCTAATTTTAGAGTGTTCCTTTTGGAGAGGAATCTGTTAAGATTTCACCTATTAAGTCTGATGTCACCAGTTTCTTTATTAAAATCCCACTGTACATATTTTCAGATATACTGTAAAAATATATAAGTACTAGCTTTTAAGTTTCTTGAGATTAAATATATACACTATTATATTCACCCTTTTAAAGAATACTGTTCAGTTTTCAGTATATTCACAAAGTTGTGCAACCTACACCACTAATCCCAGAACATTTTCGCCACCCGAAAACATAGTCCTTTTAACTTTATTCAAGTTTTCATTCACAGTGCCACTCATTTGTCATCCATACTTCTCCACACAACTCACATAACTGCTTTTCTCTGTCAAATTATCAAATTTTTTTTGCTTTCATTTATTTCTGCACTTTATAATTAATCATGCCTTGCCCGTTTTACTTATTTTTGCCTGTTTTAGCTCCTTGTGTTCTATGTTGATTTTATGATCTTTCTAGTATTTTAATATATTTATTTTCATTCACATTTTTAAAAGTATAAAGATTTTGTTTAACCCAGGTTCATCAGGAGGAGACACTGAATTAATAAATATTCAGATATTTGATGGCTTTCTTGTTAGTTTCTCTCATTGTGGCCAAATGTAACTTGTGAATTTTGGTTTTGATAACTAATTATTAGGAAAAATTCTCTCCTCTTCCTGCTCTTTTGACAGCTGCTCTTTCAACTACCCATTATTATATCCACAGGGCTGTTCAAACTGGTATTAATCTTTGAGCCACATAAAAGATGAAGTCTGAATGAATTTTTTCTTTTTTTCTTTTTAAAAGCTTTCCTATCACTCGTTATACTCATTTCTCTTTACATTATAAATTCTTTGATTCAAAGGTAAACAACATGTTTAAAATCCTTCCCATAAATAATGAGGATATTTCATTGGTATCAATGATAGTAGGGTATAACTTTTCCTAAACATTTACTATGTGACAGTAATAGTTCTAAGCACTTTATATTTATTAATTGAATCCTCACAAAAAAATCCATACTGCATGAATACATTTACTAATACATAAGAAATAAAATGCCACTATAGCTCTAAGTAAAAAGTAAAAAAAAAAATCTGAAAGGATAAAAAATACTTTGATTAACAGTGGTTAATTACCATTGTATAAGATGAACTTAGTATTAAAAGGAACAGTTTATAAGTAGAAAATGTGGATAATTTCAGTAATTAAAATAGATGTTTTAAGAGATAAAAGCAAGCATCCAAAAATAAATTTTGGGACATACTACTCAGGGCACATTTTATATCTACAAACATTTAGGTGCAACCATAACATGAATAATGAAATCATTTTTTAAAAGTCATTACAGTCATTAGAAAATAACCACTTACTGAAAAGGCAATCATATTCTTTGGTGTGATAAAAGCAGGAGAAGGTACAACATGCATTCCATGATTATACTTCCTTTAAAAATAAAAATAAAAAAACTGGCAGGATTTGCTCTACCAACTGAGAGTAGTCATCTATAACTGATATGATTACAACTAACATTGGATTTTTGGTTTTTGGTTTTCTGATTTTCTGTTTTATGTTTGCAAAATGAAACAAAAGATTAACACTAACTTCAAAAACAAAGTTATAATTTCTACAAAGATTTAAAAAATACAAGGTCACACAATTTACACAGAGTGAAGTTGGTGTAAGCACAAATATAAAGATCAAAGAAAAGACAGCCCCGAAACACAAGCAAATATATAAACAAGAATATAACATATCACCAAGAAGATAGACCAAAATAACAGAGAAGATAGTTGTTATTTCAACAACTGCCATTAGTACAAGGTTTGGTAGTGGGCCAAACAGGCAAATGTCAATTTATATCTGTAAGCAAAAAATAGTGAAAGAAGGTAACATGAATTTTTGTTGCTGTTGTTTAAAATATTAGAAAGATGACAAGCGCTTTAAACTTTATTATTCATCAGTATGAATTCCCTGGTGACGAATGAGATTCGAACCACTACTAAATGCCTTTCCACATTCTTTACAGTTATAGAGCTTTTCACCAGTATGAATTCGCAGATGTCGAGTAAGGTTTGAGCATTTATTAAAGGCCTTTCCACATTCACCACATTCATATGGCTTTTCGTCTGTATGAATTCTCTGATGTTGAAGAAGTTGGGAGTTCTGAGTGAAGGCCTTCCCACATTGAAGACATTCAAAGGGTTTCTCACCAGCATGAATTCTCTGATGATGAAGAAGTTGTGAACTCTGAGTAAAAGCCTTCCCACATTCCTTACAATCATAGGGTTTCTCCCCAGTATGAATCCTCTGATGATTAGTAAGTGCTGAGGCATAACTAAAGGCTTTGCCACATTCCTTGCACACATAGGGTTTCTCACCAGTATGAATTCTCTGATGCTGAACAAGCTTTGAGCTCTCAGTAAAAGCTCTGCCACATTCCTTACATTCATATGGCTTTTCACCTGTATGAACTCGCACATGTAGGAAATGTTGTGAGCTCTTAGTAAAGGCTTTCCCACACACTTTACATTCATAGGGTTTTTCACCAGAGTGAATTCTCTGATGGTCCATAAGATTTGAGTAGTACCTAAAGGCCTTCCCACATTCCTTACATTCATAGGGTTTCTTACCAGTATGCATTCTCTGATGTTGAGAAAGGTGTGAGTTGTAACTGAAGGCCTTTCCACAATCCTTACATTCAAAGGGTTTATTCACCAGACGTCGAGTAACACGTGAGCCACCACTAAAAAATTTCCCACACTCCTTATATTCATAAGATTTTTCACCAATATGAATTCTCTGATGTTGAATAAATTGTGAATTCTGACTAAAGACCTTTCCACATTTCTTGCATTCATAGGGTTTTTCTTCATTTACAGTTATCTGATGAGGTGTAAGGAATGTCTGTTGAATAAATGTGGGT